CTTGGCCAGCTGCCTTCAGGTCATGGGCCGTTTGCTTGAAGCAGAGCCCCTCCACAGGCGAGCCTTCGAAGGCAGAGAACGCACCCTCGGTGCCGAACATCCTAACACGTTGATCTCTGTCAAAAAGTTGGCCACGTGCTTGAAGGCCATGGGCCGTCCCAGGGAAGCAGAGCCCCTCTACGAGGCCAAAGAACGCACCCTCGGTGCGGAGCATCCAAACACACAGATCTCGGCGTGGAACTTGGGTTTGTTTCTGTTCGAGAGAGGCCGTTGGCGTGAAGCCTGGCCGTTGCTGTTTCCACGGTGCACTGCCTTCGCCGCGCGTTCTGTGCGCTGGGTGGCATCGATCTGCCGATGCCGACGTCCGGAGCTGAGTGGTGTTCAGGAAAGAGAGTTCAACAAATGTGCTGGAACTATGCAATGCCCTTGTAAATATTGTGAGCTGGAGCTATTTATATATTGTTTTTGTTAAGTGCTCAAAAGCCCCAAACATCATACATCACCATCTCCTGAGCAATGGTTCGACACGGAGGAGCCTCAAACGTGTTTATTAACCCCTCTAATTGGTACAAGCTTCCGGGTTGGTTCACAATGATGAAACATGTGTCAGGCCTCGCAGGCACTAATTTGGCTTAGTGCCTGCTATCCAAGGTTTGGACTTGGCTTTCAAAAAGCATCATAAACTCACAATCATGATATTATATTATTAAGCCGTTTAATGTTCATTCAAGGTCATTGACGTGTTTATTTTTGAAGTTAGAGGTGCTTAAAAAACTGACGCAGTGAACTCGCAACGAAGCTTTTGGCTGGAATCCATGCAGTCGGAGAACTGGACGACATGAAAAAGACAACGCAAGAATGTGACAAGTTTCTGGGATTTCCTCACACAAACAGATTTTGTGAGGCTTGTTTTGGGGTTTACACTTCACTTCGCCTTTCAAAGTGTATCTTACTGTTTCGAGGCAATCGGGACACTGCAAGTTACATTTTGCAAGGTACCTAGAAATGAAAGAAAGGTCAGTTACGATTTGGTGACCTCCCCACCACTATATAAAGATGTGACAACCTGGCAAAATCATCCATGGGTCTCTAGACATTTGCCAGGAACCCAGAGGAGCTGAGAGAAGTCTTTCAAGATATGGTGGTCTAGTGGTTTCTTTCAAACTCTGTTGAGTGTTTTATGGTTCCTTGTTTTGCTTTGTTGTTTCTTTTCCACTCCCCCTTTTTCTTGTTATGTGCGCTTTTTAAACAATTGTTTTTTTTTCTGTGTGCGTTGTTGCTTTCTGTATTTTTGTGATCTCCTCAACGGTTGATGCCGCATGACCATGCTACGACCACATCCAGAGCATTTAACATGTTATCGCAACAATGAATGCACGCATGTTCACCAGGCAATGTAAAGAATACACATCGGAGGCGGACGATTGATTCGCTGAAAAGGGCTTTGTTTCACACGAAGCGCCTGAATGTCACGTCAATTCAGATAGGAACAAGGAACGAGCGGCGCCCAGCTTGATACCTTAAGCCTTAAGTGTTTGATGATTTTGACAATCCTGTGATCATGTCCGAATCTGCCCTCAGGAGGAGTAGAGACAGATCTAGAGGACGGGGATGATGTTGAGCTGGGGCCGTTGATGCAGGTGGATTGGCCAGAAGAGGAGTTGAGACCCGAGACCAACGAGCAGCGCGCTGTTGAGCCAACCCTCTATGGGGCGTCGACCCATCTACAGTGACCATAAATTGTTGGAAAGAGAGCGAAAGAGAATGAAAGAAACCATATATCACCCAACGAGGCGACCAGCAAGGAGAGGAGTGGCCACCAACAAGGGCCCAGGGCCATGGCGACGAGTAGCGAGACGAGTCGATTACATCGACGCACTGCGTTGACTGCGTTGACCCATCTGCATCGGTGTCCAAAAGTGCTTTGTCAGATTTTAGAGATTGATATTGAAAGAGTACGATAATGCACCATATGTGCCGAGACGCGACGTTTTGACTTGAAGTGACCTGCGAAAAAACACCGCGTGCGATGGGTGGGCTGAGGATGGTTCTTCGCAGGATCAGCGACTGCAACTTGATTTTTAGTTACTTAAGGGGCCATCGCCATCCAGAAGTGGGGGATCATTTTGAGGTGATATAGTTGTCCCTCCAACTCAGGCGGAAAGGGATCCCCATAAAAGACTGCCACAAAAATGGTCAAGCAGATGTCTTTTGCAGATGTTGTTCATTTGTACATTAATACAGAAAGTTTGCCATTCACTGTCAGTGTACTGGGGTCCGCACTCTACAAACATCACAGGCCTCCTGCACCTTGCATCTTCTTTACACGCAAATCGCGGATTGCTACAGCCTGGCACAAATTATCACCGGGACTGCCCAGAGAAAGCAGCTGAAAAGGGTTGTTGAGCCCGAAAGAACTCTCTCGGGTTGCACATGGTTGCACAACATAGTTTTGCCCGATTCCTTTTTCTTTCAACCGCCAGTGTACCTGAGTTTTTTGTGGTTACGAGTGCTGGCAGACTGTAAGAAACCTTGTGCTCTGCACAAGGCTCTCTTGCGCCCAAAGCGATAAGTTTCGATCAACAAGTTCCACGTTGAATTCAGGTTCACCCAACACCGCCATCCCAATCATCATGACCAAGTCACTATAAGTTCAATTTCCGTGTGGTCTTCATCCTCAAAAGTGGAAGTCCGGTTCAACAATGGCTTCTAAGAAGTCGAAATCTGTCTGAACTTACATGCACATACCTTGATTCTGCAGCTGTTTTATGCGTCGTCAAACCTGGGACTCCACCACCAATAACAAGAGGAGGATTACATCGACTTCCATGCAAAATGCGCTTCAGCTTTGATGAGTCTGCGAGGTGGTTTGTGGTTTATGGGATTCAATTCAATGAATGATGATTTGTTTCTTTTGTTTGATGATGTTTGGGTTTGAGCGACCCGACCTGACCAACTTCCCCCAAGAAATGCACATCATGTTGGAGATTTGTGCGGTTCCGCATCCACGCCCAGGCTTGACACAGAGCCCGAGACGCTGGCAACCTCGCTTCAGGCGGGCCGTGGGCAGACGGCTGTGAAGAACGATTCATCCTGGGTCGGTGAAGACAGGTTTCAATGCTTCGGCACGGGTTCAAGGTTTGATCTCATGAGTCACTTCACACTGAACGTTGACACAGCGTGCATCAAACCCAAGATCTGAATCCATTTTCGCGTCATCTTCCGCGAACCATCGTCCATGGGTTTCCTGGATCCATTTCCTCGCACGCCAGATCTATTTTGCTATTATATATGTGTTATCCATCGCACTGCATACCACACCGTCGATCTATGTTGATGAAACCATCGCACTTCTGGATCTATTCTGGATCCATGTGCTTCCAAAGAGCCCCTTGTCCCATATAGGGGGAGAAACTGCAGAGATACACAGCAAAACAATGCGGAGCGACATTCCCAAAAAGTATTTTGGTCGGAAGGGGTAAGAAAAAACCTGCTGTTGATGGTAACTGATATGAACCTGAAGAGAACTTCTTTTAGTAACTCGAAAAGCTGTGTACTTGCATCCTTGAGCCCTCAAGAGACCTTCAAACAGAACCTCATCGTTGGGACATCCATCGCAGCGAACAGCCCGGGTCGGCAGCGACCTGGCAGCCTGGATCCATTGGAAACTCCGGAACGCCTCTAAAGTCTCAAAGACCTTCAAAGACCCGAAATCTGTGCGGAGTCTTTGTCCTGGAAGTTGCAAGCCATTTTCGAGCTTGGCGTTCAAGCTCCCGGATCCATGGAAACGATTCATACAATGAGAATCCTGAAAGTTGCCAACAAAAACCGGAAAAGCAAAACCTGTGCCAGGAGTCACAAAGGGGTGGTGTTTAGTCCCTAAGTGAATGGATGTTCTGGGCACCCCGAACTTTCATGGATATCACCCCGTCTTGTGACTGCTTGTGGATTGGCTTTGATCTGTGTCCTGACATTCCATCGTCCAACAGGTTTCCTCTGGAGGCTTGTGTAAACTTCAAAGTCGCAAGTGGTGAATCTCTGTCCTAAAAATCCATCCTCCCCGTTCGACCAGGTGCAGTTCCTCCACCGGGTCCGCAGGGTCATTGCCACGCGTCGCTCGCAGTTCTGTGACACCGACGGACGAACGGTCGCGCCTGATGGGGACGGGTTCGGACCGACCGGAGCATGGCTCGGGGGGGAACCATGTGTGTCCTCGGTCACCAGGAGGTGAACAGCTAAACCGGATGATCCGACATCAGTTTGGTCACACAGCTGATTCAATTAGCTGTACCAACTTCACCGAACGTCTCATAGTTGTAGCATTTGTGATCACCAGGATGAACAGGCAGGATGATCCAGCATTGGTTCCGGCATGAATCTTGTAGCCACAGCTGTGCATGATCATTCAGCCATACATATATTGTTGGTCTACAAGAATTGTAGTCTTGCAAGTTAGAGTTAGTAGTTTTAGACACCAGGGGAAGACTGGTTTGGAGGTTCAAAAGGTGCAGCTAGGGCCATTGGCAGATGGAAGCATATGTTTGTCATCTAAAGGAGTTCGATTAAGCAATTCTCCTCTCGGTATCTCAGGTTGATGGACATGTTGTCCATTTGAAGACAGAAAAAGAAGGTTGTTTTTTTTTCGAATCCTGTAAAGATACTTGAGACTTGTCCATCGAACGAGCAAGGGCATACTTTTCCTTCAAAGCAGTAGCACTGTAGCACTGCTAGTTCCTTGTATGGGGTGCATGTGTGAGACCAGTGGTAGGTTGATTGATGATGTATGGATGTAGCCATGCAGCATTACTCTTATAGACACAGGGTGTTTTGTAATTGATGTCATGCCTTTCTGTGGTCAATCGCGTTTATATAAACAAAATAGACAATAACTTGCAGAAAATGAAAACAAATCACGACCGGAACCCCTTTTCTCACCAAGGATCACGCATTGGCTACGATGTGTTGCTGCAGGATGAGGTCAGGGTTGGGGGTGGAGCTCACCAAGAGGCCCCAAGAAGATCAAACAGTGCAAGTTCTGAAGGTTGTTTTTGACAGGGACAATTTCCCAAGCATGGCTTTGGGTTGTTTGTTTTCACTGCGTTGGGTTGTCACAGGATGGTTAATAGTCGAAGCCTGTGGGATGGTAAACCGTTATCAAGCAGTGCTTTCTTTCCACCAGCTACCCTCCCTCCAACAATCATGGAAGTGGACAACAGCCTGTATAGTAGAGGAAAGCAGTCTTCCAAGTGGCCATGTTCCACTTTCCTCTTTGTTGGATAGAGGGTAAAGCACCTTGTTTTGAGTGGACGAAGACCTTTGTCACTTTTTTTTGAGGCGCCTGGTACCTTACAGTGGTTTAGTGTTGAGTCATGATTCCTGCTCAGCTATGGTAAACATAGACAGACAAATCTCTTATGTTCAAAATATGTGTGGTTTGATCTATTTTGTAGGAGTGAATTGTTTCGGCTTGTTGTTCCGGCCAGCCCCAAGAACTGAGTAGGGCCAGGCCTCATTTGGAAGATCCTGCCTGTGGTGATGGGCATCATACTTCCTGCGCAGGTCTCCTTCAGCTTGTCTCAGACGGAAGATGGAGTGCAACTGCACATCACCGGCTTCCTGGCGGAGTTTCAGAAACGGACCAAACTAGCGGTTTCAGAGTAGATGGCACAGACCGCAAGATGTCCTTTAGATGTTAGATGGGGTTCCAGATAAACCACCTTTGGGGGACTGAAACCACTGTAACCAATCTTTACCCAATCTATATATAAGGTCCTTTTTTTGGTTCTCATGTTCCTTGACGACTTACAGCATCAAAAACTCCTGGCTCAAAGGCCACAGACATTTTTCAAGGTACGTATGATCACCATTTCAGCCAAGAGTCTTGAGAGGGCTTATAACTCGGTCTTCCCCTCAACGCCAGAGGTGTCCCTTCCCCATTCTTGGACCACCCCAGAAGAGAGACCCACCTTTAAAAAAAGAAACACCCGGAAACCCCCAAAGAGAGACCGACCTATGCAGACCTTGGCAAACCATACCGGATTCCACCCGTTCCGTTCCGCTTCGGTCACACGGTGCCACCGTTCCACCGAGGCCTGGAGTTTCATCCGCTGGAGGACGCCGTGGCCCTGCGGCGGCACCTGCAGAGCCAGCTGAAGGACTTCACCAGGCGGGAAGAGAGGAGAGAAGTCACCGGACGGTCGTGGGGGGGCGAGGGGTGGTGGAGGCCCGGTGGCCCGGTGGGGGCCCGGGGTCCTGAAGCTCGGTGGGTGGAGAGATGGGGGAGTTGGGAGCTGGACTGGAGATGGGCTGAAAGAATCATGAAGATAATATACCAGGACCCTCCAAGGGATGCCCAATGGAAGCCTATAGGTAGTGTGGGGTAGTCCATTGGACACTCCTTGGAGGGTCCTGGTAGGGTGTTTGCGAGGTTTGTGTGTGTGTGTGTTATTTTTCTCAGGATGTTTTGGAGTGTTGTTCAGCCCAATTCCTCGGTGGTCCTCTATAGTGCTTGTCTCAAATGCCAAAGACCTTTGGCAACCGTAGATGAAACACCATTTCACGATGTCATCTTGAATCTTGAAGCATAGGTTCCTTCTCTTGTTTTTTGACATTGGAGTCAGACATTCTGAATTAGGGCCCCTTGAAGCCAGCCACATCATTTGCCAGGGAGTCCTGCTATCAATGGTGGGAGGATCACAAAGAAGAGGCGATGGTACGGACACACGCGACGAGTGAAACAGCTCTCGCGGCAACACCTCTCCACGCGACGCGACGCGACGCGTGGCAAACGGGATGCGACGTAGGGATGCGGATGCAGGTGATCTTGAAACCTGCAGCGTTGCATGTGTTCTGTTCTCCATGTGCAGATGCCAATAGTAATTGATGGAACCAGCCAAGATCTCTTCGATGGTTTGAACCAGCCAGGGTGGGAACCAAGGTTTGTAGATCACAAAAGGTACCAGCTATAGGGTATTGAAAAGGAGCTATTGGGCATGTTCGTTAAAGATGCCAACAAAGCCACATCAATCAGAAGGTCGCGCAACAAGAACCCAGTGAGTGCTTCAAGGGCGAATTTGTGTTCCTTCCATCTTCCCATTGACACCTTTTGTTGCTGTACATCTTACTCGAAAGAATATACGTACAGTTGGGGTATGCGTTATGCTAGACTGAATCTATTGTAACTTCCAAGCGTCCAGGCCGCGCATGAAATCCAAGCCAAGCACCACCATGTTCGCCCGGAACTGCCTTGTCCATCGCATTTGTGGCCCTTCGCATCTTTCGTGGCAGATGTGTCCGTTGAACAGCTCGAAGTTGCGCTGGATCCTCGAATCGATCTTAGGCCTTCGCCACTCGGTTCTACGTGTTTTGTTTTGGGTGATGATGGAGAAAGTTCAAGGATGATTCAATGATGTGGGTGTGTGTGTGTTTTAAGAGGGAGACACCCTGGCCCAATGGGTAGACTATGGCAGACTGGTTTATGATGTTTCTTCCATAGGATCCTTCTTCCAGAGGTTTGAATCCACACTAGTCAGGGGATTTGATCAGGAGGGCTGTTCCATTCTTGTTTAGACAAGTCGAGGGCCATGTGTTGTTTAAGACCACCGAGTCGGTGTTGGACCGAGAGGGGGGTGGGGGAGTCTTGTCCTTGGTGGCGGAGAGAAGTGGGTCTTGTGATGGAGGGATGTTTGGAACGGATTTGAAGGATTTGAAGGATGTAGAACATCCACGTGAGTGACCTAGTGGGGATTTGTTCATACTTGTTCAAGGATTCTTGGATCAAGGTTGACCTACTGTAGTGGTATAGGCATAGGATTTAGGATTCTTGGATTTTCTTGGTGGTTGCGCTGAGTGGATCCTGCCATATCCTGCCTATGAACGTCCATGAGTCTTCAGGATTCTTTTGTTCGAAAATCTGTGGGTTTACCTGGGCACTTACTATTACCACACGTCGGGTCTTATCGTGGCAAAGAGTTATTGACTGGCCTAACCCCCCCCATATCCAGTTGTTTTCGAGGGAATCCTCCATGCTGGTTGGAATAAACTCATGCATATCCATTCAGTTCTGGATGAAGCAGACATGGAGCGAATCCGGACGCCATGCCTTGAGTGGAATTCTTGTACATCGGTTAGTTCATGAAACGCTATAGCGACTTTTGCCCAAGCATGTGCCTCCACTCGCACAAGTTTGTGGGGAATAGCGCCGATTGATTGATTAATTGTGAGGTAGGCTGTGCAGCGTTGATGAGCCTCAACCATCAAATGCACACATATCACATGGCATGGGCTGACAGAATCTATGCTCCATGCGTGTTTTGGAATCAGCAACTTTCAATTCTGGTTGGTGCTCCGCGACCGACACCTGGCTTAGGTAGCGTGAATGCAGTGACGCCGCCTAAGGGAAAAGAGAAGATGCTGTGCCTTGGCGAGGTGTAGACGCTGTCGGGGGAAAGGGATGCTTGACGTCCCGTGTGTAGACTCTGCAGTTCCCGAGATAGAAACGTCCAAAGATTCCCAAGGCACTGAGAATATGGATCTATATAAGATTATATAACATACAACAGATAGATCTATGTTCATATAACATATAACATATATCATATATAACATATATAACATATAACAATACAGAATGTAAAACAAATACCCCCAAAAGCAAGATTTGATCGATTTTCTCCATGATGTTCATCTATATATAACTTGCTCGGGTGCTCGTTTGGGGTTGTGCCTTGCAATCAGTTGTAGAGATGGCAACCAGGCAAAAAGTAAAAACTAAAACCTGTTTAAAGCGATTGTGTTAGCGTAAATTTGCAAGTCAGTAGTCAGTTGGAGGACACCATGAATGTGGCCTGACAAACTTCTTTGTGGATTCTTCAACCATCTTCAACCAAACGTTGTGAGGTGGGCACCATGGGTGGGTTCCATAGTCACCCACCTGACAAACTTCCAGACATGGGTCTTCAGGTCTTCAAACTGCAGTCACCATGACCCTAACAATCCATGGGACTGCAATATGTACCTACATTAGGGTGGTTGAAGAGGGGTCAATGCAGCTCAACGTTCCAGTCCGGATTGTTTGGGTCGTGGTGAGGGCACGGTTTTCACGGTGCCTCGATACATCGAGACACATCCGTCGCAGGTGGGGCTTCCTCCATACCCGCAGGCGCGAGGAGGTGACGTTGCCGAGGTTCCCGATGTCCTGCAGTGACATCTGGAGACGAATCCTGCGAAAGGTTGGTTAAGCTGAGGTCTATTTGTCGCAGGTTTCGGCAGGTTGACCTTTCGCAGGAAGCACACAGCTTTTGCGAAACTACGAATCCTGGAGGTTGATTTGTGGTTTCGTAGTTGGTGCTATACATTCCAAGGCGCCGAGGGAGGTCTTTGTGGCTCCTGCGGTCACAGAGAACGCTCATGAGCCGCTAACCTGCACGAAACGTGGAAGTGGACACCCATGAGACCCCTGAGGGGTGTGTAGAGGAGAGTTGAGAATGGTCTTACCATGATCATTCCCAGAGGCCATTGTCAACTTCCTCGCTGTGTGGAGAGAGGGTAATCCTCGCTGTGTGGAGGGGTGTCAATTTTGCGTCAAACTGGGGAGATGTTGGTATCGCAGACCCCCCGGATTGTTCCGAGATGGACTGAGGGGTATTGATTCACAAGATTTCTCCCCTGAGCAAACAGTTACAACACAATGGGAAGATTTATGCCCGGTAGATTTGTAGACAATTTTTATTTACAAACTGGATTTGGCTGTTAATTTATAGGACATGCATGCAAAATCCTGCACTATACTACCGAAATACCATCAAAAGATCAAACTACTCCAACTTCCACTTGTAATTGACCACCAGAAGCAGGCACCACACAGAAGGTTTTCTCCCATTCATCGGCAAAAATGGTCTCCACCACGAGACGTGCGCGATGTGCGGCGCAGATTGGTGGTGGAGAGCTTCCACTTCCGACGGGACGAGGCCGGACTTGGCATCCGCGGGGCGAAGGGCGGGGAGGCATCGGAGGCATCGGATGGCCGAACCGAGCTGAAGTCGTGCCGGTTGGTGGATTCGGAAGGGGATACCTGGTGAGACCAACTTGATGGCCTAAGAACCATCAATACAGGGTACAAGTATCTAATACCGGGCCCATGATGTTAATATATGACCTAATACCGGATATATACTTAATATTTGACCCCATGATTCCCAACATATGGATACCATATTATGATTGGAGGTCACATCCGGGTACAGGACCACCTGGTCGGTCCGGCTAAGCGAAGAAGGCGAGCGACTCGGGAGCCGAGAGGCGACCAGGGAGTCTCCTTGAGAGGCGGCCCACTGGCTGGTTATGAGCAAACTATGACCCAAAAACAAAGAGCATATGAGTAAGTAGGTGGAAGTAGGTGGTACTAGGAGCTTTGGCAATAAACTTGGAATCCTAAGACCCATCGGTTTATTGTTGTTTGTCATTACATGGATTTATGCATGGTGAATATATGTTTGGTTGATTCTGTTTGTATGTGGTTTGGAGACGAGAGCTTTGCAAAGGAGCGTGAGAAGTCTAAAAGTCGTCCAGAGGTCCGTGTTTGTTGGGTACATGTGAGTGTTCTGAAGGGTGACGTGGTCTCAAGCCAACCTTGGGCAGAACTTCTGTATTTCACCCAGCAGCTGGACCCGAACCAACTGCTACATGGACCTGAGATCACAGAAACGACGTTGCGAGGGTCAAAACCCGAGCTATGAGAGGCCAAATGAGCCTTTGGGCATCTACTATAGGTCCTGAATTGAGCTGGAAAGAAAGCATTGGGTCTGGACAATGTTGCTTTTATATAAGCAGAGCAGGCTTAGAATCTGGTGCCCTTCATGTGCACCAGGGTTTTCAAGTAGACTTGACTGGTTCAATTGGATGCTGCCATCCATTGAGCCTATGGTGCCATCGTGGTTCTCCCTGGTGCCTTTGGAGCTCAGCTCATCTCAATTGAAAGCTGCAGAAGCTCAGCTGCCCCACGGCTGAAAACGACCAGACTCCATGCCCCGCCCCGCCTGACGACACCGTTCCGCGCGCCGCAGGAGGGGCACGTGCGGATGAGGGCAAAGGTGGAGGAGCCCATCAGTGAGGAAGAGAGAGCGCTGCAGGCACGCTGAACTTGGTCGATCAGTTGGTTGCGTCAGGCCACGGTGGCAGTGGAGAATGAGCTGAGAGGGAAGTGACGAATCACTCATTGGTTCCTACTGATCAACACCTGCACAAGTGCTGTGCTTTGGGAGGTAGAAGACGCCACAAGATTTGACAGTGAATGTATTCAGGAATTTGTATCACAGTATTTTGTATTACTTCTTTTCTCCTTCACTGTGTTGTTGAACTTTTTTGACAAGTGTTTCTTGTTTCTCGGACCAAGCTCGGGAGAAGTACGAGAAACCGAATCACAACGACGTTTGCGGGAGTCTCGTACGTTTCAACGAAGCTGGAAGGGTAGGCAGAGAATGTGCAGAAGGTGAAGATTTTACCCGCGAAGGCCTGATCATTGTGGTTTTATCTTCGGGCCGTGTGCTTCGAGAGTTGTTGGGACCTGAACACTCAATTGTCTTCTGAAAGTTCGAAAAACAAACAAAAAAAAACACATCAGGTGTCCAACAAAGACTAGGAGTACTGTAAACAGAAGACATGATACAATGATACAGCCCAACGAACCCTCATGACCCTCATGACCTTCAACCCACTAAATATAGACTGTACGTATGAGTTTCTGGGCGGTGGTGGATGATTCCTTCCTCAAACACTCCAATGCATGTTCTTCATAACAAACGCATGTACCTCAAATATAAACATCCTGAACCACCTGCACTGTTGTCCTGTCGTACTGCCATAAACACTCCAAGCCTGACACCCAGCCGTATCCTCAGGCATCTTCGGACGATGCTCGCCTGCATCTTTGCTCCGACAACTCGAGTGGTTTTGTTGGGGAGCCGCCGCGCCACAAGGCATGAGGATGTCTTTTCATTTGCCAGTCGAGAAAGGATATTTTCCGAAGCTCATTCTGTTTGTTCGACTGCCTGGTTCTTCAGTGTGACCCTTTAAATCGTTGAGTTTGAGCATCACTTAAGCCTCCCCAGATGTCCCAGCTGGGTCAGTTGGGTCACAAAACCTTCAAGTTCCGTCACGTTGGGTCACAGATCCTGGTGTTTCTGCTTGACAGCTGGCCTTGGCAGCTTTTGGGAGCTTCCTCTCGACTCTCTCAGACCGGCCTGGCCCCACCCTGACGGATCGCACGCACAGTACTTTGCTTGCTCACACAGCTCACGGGCGTCGGATTGCTCCTGAACTTGAGTGAGCTTGAAATAGCCATTCGAATGAGACAGATAGAGCTTATAAGGAAGTGCTTAAGGATCCTATGTTCCAGTATAGCCGTGAACTTGAACTCCAACATCAAGGAGTTCGATGTGGCTCGTTGATTTCTTTTGGTGTCTTGCACCCAGTTCGCTGAGGAGATGATCGCTGAGATGCCTTCCCACGAGTTGAAGCTGGGCGAGCCGCTCCACTGGAACTCAAAACCAGGTTTGCCTACCTGGACCATCCAAGGGGTGCCCAATGGAAGCCTATAGGTAGTGTGGGGTAGTCCATTGGAGACCCCTTGGATGGTCCTGGTATGTTTCATACCCACTTACTTGATCTTGCTTGCACGAATGGAATCCAGCCCCTAGGCTTCATGTATATGGACCCAGAGGCCTGCATTGGCACATAGACCCACATAGACCTACATTGTATATATAGATCGTCCCGAAAGATGGAAACCAGCCACAAAAAAAGCTCTGATGTATGCTATCTAGATGTATACAGTGCACCTACAACATGGGTATGCTGAAACCCAGCTGAAATGGTCTAAATTGCCTTTGCCCGGCTGCAACAGGAACATCTTCCAGTTGGATTCATCCAAACCGGTGGTCAAGCCAATTGCGAGCACCTGTGAGGGGTCGTGGTCTTCTGTGTCCAAGGTATTTCATGCCTTCCAGCATGAATTGGCTGGAGCTCTTCCACTACCATCTCATAGGCGCTGTGCTCATGCTGTGCTCACGCTGTGGTCAGCTGGGGTGGGGAACTCCCGCTTTCGGTCCAATGGATATGTTTGGACGTTAAAGTTCTTGAGCAAAGCACACGGTCATGGGGGGAAAACAGTGGTTTCAGAGTAGATGGCACAAAGCCTAAGATGTCTCTTACATGTCTTATATGGGGCTCCATATGGCTCCATATAAACCGCCTATCTTGGGGTAACTTGTGCCATCGAACCTTTCAAACCACTGTAACTAGCTTGTATGTCCTTAGCTTTCATGTTAATGATAGACGGGGGACAACCCCCCCATCGAAGATCAAACCTAGCGTTCGTCAAAACCGGCCGCGGGCAGTGCGGATGGGGACTCTTGAATGCAGGGATAGCCCAGACTTTAAGAAGTTTTTTGTGTTTGTAAAGGAAAGCAGACTGAACATGAGGGGAATTGGTTGATTTTTTTTTTGTCAACACAACACTGGTATTTTTCTTGGACACTTCTGAAGATTGGAGCAACGAAGGTGCCAAGACTCACTGTTACTCAACATTTGATGCCACCAGTGTGTGTTGACAAACATTTGATGCCCTAAGAGGGGGGGGATTCATAAATCTTTGTTTTTTGACTGTATAAGTCTCAAAACTGATTCTCCTGACCCTTCTCATCTTTCCAGATCCCATCCGTGGTCTTTTGTCCAACATCACTTCCCCTGGGTTTATGGTAAATCTCCTTCACCAAAAGGAACCAAGAAAAGACATGAGAAGTCCCAGACAGTGACATGTCAATGTTTTTACTTAAAACGATTTAAAACGATTGGTATACTGTATATTTCTTAGACTTCTTGCCTGGATTGTCTTGCCTCTACTTTGGGTAGGATGATTTTCGTCAAGATCTTTCCACCAAACAGATAGAGATCATCCCAACAACCGATGGCTGTACTGGTTTACATCGGTCAACCGACGCCTTTGCTCCGTCCTCGTGCGAGCGCCGAGAGCGAGAGCGGAGCCTCGGTGGGTCGGGCGCAGGGCATCCGGGTGCGGACCCGGCGAAGATCACGAAGCTCCTGTCCGGAGCGACGTCTTGGGGTTGTGGCGCAGACGCTTTGACAGAGAGAGGTTGGAGATCAGACGTCAGCGGGGTGGGATAGACGGTGGGGTGGAGGTATGTGGAGGTGCCGCTAAAAGGTGGTTTTGATATTCGAGAAAGAAAAGGAGAAGGAGAATTGGAGGGATTGTGAGGGGTGAGAAAAGGATGTGAAAGGGAGTGTCCACACTAAAACAGTCACTCAGAAATGATTGCAGAGTGGACGGCAGAATGCAAATTGTGTTTTTTGAGCGGACTTTTCTTTGGATCCTCTGACGTTCCTGAGGCAGTTTTGACAGATGGGTGGTGAAAAGGCCCAATCACAGTTTTGTGGGCCATAGAAGCTATGGCCCTTTGAAGTGTTACAAATAGGGGATCAGACGCGAACCGATGCAAGGGGTTTTGGGTGTCCAACTAGTTGGTTTTGAGGGACCCGTCAGCCGGAACCATTTCATTGGCACCGCACTGCTGAACTCGACATGGTGAGTCCAAACCTGGAGCTCCAAACCGACCTGCAGTTCTTTTTCTGACCGGTGCGACGGTCTCGCAGGGTGGCTGAGGGTGGGATCCAGAATCCCTATTGGGGGCGATGGATTCCCTTATTCCCTACGAGTCGCACCAGTCAGTTTTTGGGGGGGAAGGTTGGTCTATTCTGTTCTTCCTGTCGCGGCGAGTGAGTCTCGTCTGGCATACCGGGCATTCTGCCTGGCATCCTCCACACATATGATTTCACATGTGAACCCCGAATTAAGCCTCAGCGCTGTCTAAAGTGAAGGCCCACGCTTGCAACCGAGCCGTGGAAACACCCGCAAGGATGCGAGCAAAGCGAACTCTAATGTCGTGAGTCATGAAGATCTCAGCTCCGTCGATCGTGCCGTTCGGTAAAGACTTCCCAATGCTTTTATTTCGATGTCGGTTGTGACAGCCAGGAATGAAAGAAGTGCCCGAAACACCACGAACCTGGGTGACAAACTGGCGGACTTCAGTTGTGAGGTCACGGAAAGTGTGAATGGAAGTATCCTGCGAAGGTAGCCGGAAGCCCTGCAAGAAAAACACCACAGCCAACTCTACATAAGAGGTGACCGCATCCTCCGCGAGCCGCCAATGTTGACATTCGAAAAACGAGCCCAAAACTTTCCAATCCTGAGGTTTGCAGGACCATTGAGGAGGAATAGTCGCTGCACTAAAAACATACGTTGGAGTCCATGGGAAGTCCTGGATCTGAGCGCCCCAGTTCCATTGAGGAAAAAGAACAAAAACATCTTCTGAAGCTTCTTCAGCTGCTAAGCGAGCCTCGAGTTTATTGTCTTGGTCGATTTTCTGGAGTGAGGCGATATCAAGTTTCAACTGTGTCAGCCAATCCTGTCTACGAACAATGCTGGTCTTCAACATGTGTTCGTCATCTGGACTCACGCTGGTGGCTTGGAAGGCGTGGTACTTGGCAAATTTGTCAGCATATCGGTTGCCAACAATGTGTCTGATCTCAGTATTCTTTGCAGAAGCCATCTCCGTGGTGATATAAGTCTCCGGGAGGTGTTCATACAGGTGAGAAGGAACCCAAGACACAACAAAAGGATCAGAATGCCTTCTAAGCAAATCCGTCAACCTATTGTTCACCGCTTGCCACCAGGATAAGTGGGACCAGCTGTCTTGCGCAGAGCCTTGAGCTCTCAACTGGGCGAATTGATCCACAATCGTCTGACAATCCGTGAAAACTTCCGTTGGACCAGAACACTTGTGAATGGCTGTAACAATGGCCCAGAGTTCGGTGGTGTATGACGAAATGTGCAAATGATGAACATGTCCACCATAGACTTCTTGCTGTCGTTCATTGACAATGGAGAAGCCCCCAGCCGAAAGCCAGAAAACATGAGGCCAAAACACAGAACCGTCAGTCCACCACGAAGTCACGGGCGCCAAAGGGTTGAAATCCTCAACAACTGTTCATTTTTCACACCCCCGGTACGGCCCGGTACCCCCTGACACGGAAGGTCCGGGACGTGTGTGGCTTGGGACACGTGTGTGCAAGTATCGATCGGGTGGTCAAGCATGGTGCCCCCGGGGTGTCCAGATCCGCCTGCCATGAAGCGCACAACCGTCGGTCGAACGACCGTTCGAGTCGTTCTCGACGACGAGGATGGGTGGCATCAATATGATGAGACCTGGACCTGTGTCACCTGGAGAGTATAGCTTGCTTGCTTCATTGGACCTGGATCTCCTGTCACCTCGACTCAGTCACTTGTGTCCGTACTCACCTGTGTCATCAGAGTACAAGGTCCGGGGTGTAAAGGAAATAAGAGTGGGCCGAGAATGAAATCATAGGTCCTTTGTAGAAGCACCGAGGTTTATGTAGAAGAAACTATGTTCATCCAAGGGGCCATGCATGGCCATGCCATGCATTTCCATGACATGTTCTGGTGATGGTTTGTTGTTTGTTATGTTTCCTTTTCAAGGGCAGTTGTATTGGGGCAGTTGTATTTTGGGGGGGACGGGCTCTTTGCGCAGATGACTAAACCCATATGGAGCTTGCACATCTCCCCCCCAAAAGATGGCCACTACCTGTAGAATACTCTTGCTGAAAGGAACCTTTCCTTGGACATTGCTGAGTCAACTGGTATCAACCATAGTTATTATGACAACTGGTATCAACTTGCTGCGTCCTTTCTTCGTTGTCAACGAAGGTCCCCAGGACCACGGGAGACCTGATCCAGAACCCGAGGTGGACCAGAAGACCTTGCTGGGAAAGACCACTTTAGCCACTCGGAGAGTCCACAGAGTCACATGGAGAGTGCAGTCAGAGTCTGCCGAGTCCGAACTCACGAGCCTTTCATGTAGACGAGTTGCCTTAGACCAGTCGCCTCGAGTCGCGGGGCAAAAAGAGGTTTTTGCATGTTTTTGTCATCTACCTGGGAGGGGTGAAATGAGGGGTGAATGGGAGGTTTTGTCGCAGAATAGTGAATTGATTTGATTTGCCCAAAGAAGACCAGCAGGGCTACTATCAGTGGTCGGTACCTGCTAGGGCTAGTGGTAACAGTGGACACCTGTTAGATACAAGAAACGCACGCCAACGCGGTTAGCCAACGCGGTGGAAAGGCTCGCGTTTGGACACAAACCCGATCGTTGATGGACGAGTTCCCTGGAACAGCGACAGAGGTAATGACGCACCAGCAGCTCCATGGAGGAACAGGGAGAGATCCATGGAGGTTAATTAGGGTGCCCAGAACATCCACTCACTCTGGGAACTCAAAACGGAACATCCCTTTAAAAACTCCTGGCACTCAGCGTTGCTCACCATTCTGGATTGAACAGATCAGGCTAAGATGGAACGCAGGAAACTCTCAATCACATCCGTTTTGAGAATTGGACCCCTACCATCATTGAGTGAATCGCGTATAGTATAGAGTATATAAATCTCTTCAGCCCCAAATCTACCAATAGTGACTTGCCATAATAAGTTCAAGGTGTACCCGTGGGCCCTATTTGTTTCTCACCATTCCCACCTTCATCCAGATTGACGTCGGACTTCACCCAGGAGCAGGGCCGTGTGATTTGGCATCAGGCATAGGCATAGCCGCGGTCGCTCGACTGGCATTGGTCGTGGGAGATCCACGATAAGTCCACCCAAAAGTCTTGATGGTGTTTGAATGAACCACCTTTTTGGGGGGATTGTGCTATTGACTAGTCTCAATCCACTTCTACCATTTGAGGGGAGGGATGCCAATTGACACGTGTTCGCATTTGAGTCAAAGTTGAAGAACATGTTCAGCTCTGGATTGCCTTGTTGAATTGTTCGGTGCCGTTTGTATTCCTGTGGGGATTATGTGGGTTTTGACCCGCAGCCAGAGTTCTTTACAGCCTTTCTTGCTGCCTTGAGCATCACCAGCGTTTAAGCTCCTGCTTCTAGCATCCTTAATGGCCATCAATCAAGTGGAGCTCCAAGCGTTGTGGTTTCTGCCAAAAACTTGCTCACCATACACCTGCCTGTTCACTGCAGCCCTGGCAAGACCGAACGGTCATTTAGGCTAGGCAAATCAATTCACTTGGGTGGAGTCTAAGGGGACGCCCAAGAACGACTCCTTAGAAGTGGTGTTTTGATGTAAAACTTGAAAGTGTGGGGTGAATTTCTGTGCTTGGACGTGAATCACTCAGAACCAGAATGAAATTGATGTATGACATGACATATTTTATATTTATATGGTATATAGTATATAGAGCTTGAAAATGGCTGGAAGTCTAGGCCTGCGCTCATCAGAATGCACACTGCAAAACATAATCAAACCCCACCGAACTTCCAAGGCAGAGCGCCTGCAGGGCGCCTGGAGTGTGAGCGCTTGCCTCCGACGCCGTTGGGGCGGATTTGAGGGCATCGGTTGGAAGAGTGGGCAGATCTGGGCAGACTCAAGAGTTCTTTAAACAACATCAGAGACTCCTTCCAGAGGATGGGGGGGGTTCACAAAAACCAAATGGTGGGACTAGTTTCGCTCAAGACTCGTTTGGATCAGAGACTTGTTTTGTTGTCAAACGGTTTTGGGACTTTAAGTTGACTTGAGGGGGACCAGGTATCAAAAGCAGGGCACAATGGGCACAACAAAATGACGGAAATAACAAAATTGAGGCAGAACGAGCGATTGTTCCAGTGAGAGGTTTTGCCACGTTTTGCACGGACTAAGTGACGAATTTGGTCTTTTCTGAGGAGTTCAACTATCCAACTGATGGTTGGCGATTAGTGACGGATCTCTGAACAGGTGACTTCCAACACCCTTCATCATGCCTCAATGACCCTCGTTATCCAACAATAGTACACAATTTCACCCATCTATGGCCCCTTCGAAGACTGCTTTCCTCGACAAACAGGGGCAACAGGGGGGTCATTGTTGGATGGATACAGTACTACGGTCAACAGTAGGACCCTCTGTCCTGTGGGTGCCCGGACTACCCAACCCACGACTTAGGGATCTCCAGACAGGACACCCAGACAGGATGCTCTATAGGTATGTTTCACCGAGCTGCTAATGCTGTTCTTTGGTTCATCAACTGACAGAGCAAATGCCGAAGCCCCTTGCCCATGTGCGTTTGGTGATGATGCCATAGTCATAGTAGATGTCTCACAATATTGAATGACCAAGTGCTGAGACGATATCCGCATGGATTTTTTGTTGGCAGTGGCCTCATCCGCAAGCTTTTGTATCTCTTGCGCCGCGATGGCAGTGGGGCTCTACCGAGATATGTGCGACCCCACAGGCTGTACAGAGATTGCGAGACGTGGCCTTCTTGATGAGGAGTCACTATTGGACGTACATGAGTAGTGTCAACCAGCTCGTGTGGCACACCTAAGAAATCTGAGACCCTCTTCACGTGGCTATATTGATACTACTAAGTAACCTGTCAGCTTTACTATATTTATACTAGTAGTGTCAATATACTACTAAGTAGCGTCACACTAAAAGGGACGAACCCTGTCGTCCTCTTCGAACCCAGTCAGTCGAAGACCCCTTGACCGACCTGCCTCGGTGCGGGGGGGAGCCTCACAGGTCAGACGCGTGGTCATGAACTGGACTTGGAACCAGGACGCTATGAGGGGGGCTCCTGGCCTTATTACTATAGTAGCATTCTTATCTATTCTTAGTAACAATAAAGCTAGCTGCAGCTAGCTATTTTGGAGACCTTTTCGAACACAAGGGAGGTGAAAGACCTGGAGACTGGACCTGGGTCGGACTGGACGTACGTAGGGAAAGGTGTGGTTGGAGTTCATCCAGTCTCTGGGCGATGCACAGGTGGTTTCGTCCTAAGTCGAGGTCGCGTGGTTTCTGCGGGTGTTGGAATCAGGAGAGCTTTGGAAGTCCAAGGGAGAGGAGGTTTTTGGGCAAACATGCTTTTCTCAGGGGTCTTTGGGTAATTAGATGTAATTAGTCTCGAGGTGTTCTTTGTTTGTTTTCCATGTTAAAATACAACGTGTGCGGCCAGCAAACACCACCACCGCCGCCGGCATTGCTTGGCGGCATTGCTTCGCCCTGCTTGCTTGGCCATTGGCTTGTTCGTTTTACACTTTTACCATGTATATGTCCCATACACTCCATGTATGCCAGATATGCCTACGTTGACCCCCCCAAACCACCCCAACTGATCGGCATATATGGCAGCCCATGGAGCGTTTGGGTGTGCTTTTTGTCTTCTATCTTCTCCCTTTTCCAGCTTGGCCTCCTTTTCCAGAAAGCTAATCTAATCCAACATAGGCCACCAGTACCGCATGGGGGCGGACATTGCAGCCCCAATGGTGGATCCTCATTTGCAGAAGGAAGTCATCCGACTTGAGAGCCGCGGGTAGTGGCTTCAAGCAAGTGCTTGAGGGCTGCTGGAAGAATCAGATCTTTTGTTCCTTTCTTTGTGTGTGTTGGTTCCAAAGGTGAGTTGTTGACGATTTCCAGCATTTCATTCCCCATGAACCAAAACCGTATGAAACACCTGTGTGAATTCGTTTAACGAAGGGCTCCTATTGGGTGAGGCTAAAGCTAGAGATTTTTCTAAGAGGTCTGAGGGAGGCATCGTGTTTCAACTAAAGAACTGTCTATAAACGAGAAATACAGAGACAACCTTGTGTATTATTGTTTTAAACATCGTAAACATGATTCTCTAATTCATTGGTTTTACGTTTCCTTCCCAATGTTGTTCGATGTTTGTATCTTCAACCTCTTCAACATCAAAGTTCGGGTGAGGCAGGGATGCGTTCGGGAACCTCCGGCAAAACGTGAAGTAGGGGTGTTTGGGCAACAAGCAGCCAGAAGTTTGGACAGGCAGTCGACCTAAGCTCTTCATTTTGGAGTTCCATGAGAGTGTGGTTTCAACATTTGTAGAAGCGGATGTTTCAACGACTTCTACAGTGGTTTCTATGGCGCTGGCACCCCAAGATGTCTTTTAGATGGGGATCCACTACTAAACCACCTTTTGAGGATTTTGCCATCATCTCTCAACCCACTAGTGTTTCCTCCTTGGAGGAGTTTCAACAACTTCTCCTGTTCTCTTTGGTGGCCTTGGGGGACCTTGGAGAAACTTCCACTGGCTACGTCATTGGAGTTGTAAGGGGCCCTGCTCCGTTGGCTCCCTGAACCACACTCCAACAGCCGACACGACAGCGGTGGCGGTGTGGTTTTGGAAGACACTCACCTGCACAAGCGAAACAGCCGGATGAGCCAAGGTCTAATGTTTGGTTTCAGGTGATATGATATCAAATTATTACGATTTGATAGAATTACTAAAGCTACAGTATCTGACATTCCCTCAGATACTGTAGCGTTTAATGTGAGTTTCCCTTCGGTGGCCTTCTGTCAAATCAGCTTTTGAGGTGTACAGAGAGATTCTTGTACAGAGCTTTTGTACAGAGCAGTTCCTGCTGCCCCAGGAACTAGCCAATTTTGAAATCCAGGACAGCCCAACCCTTTACAATCGACAGTGGACGCTCTTGCTTTAGACATATATGTCACATATTGCTTTTTTATGTCAAACAAATGAACAAAACCAAATCAACTACGATGCGGGTATGCCGCCGTGGATCTCTCTCTTGTGAGCCCTAGATTTGGGTGATCAAACAGAAGGACCCTCCTCCTAAAGACTCATGGCAGAAGCGACCGATGGCTAAGGAGCTGAATTCCTAGTTCGTAATGTCTCTTGAAGGCCGACAGGCGTCAGTTCTTTTGTCAGGGGCAGGGGTTGATGAACAAAAATGGTGCACCACTGGACAACGGTGTTTGGAATGTTCCAGGTGCGTCTTGTGTCAGCACATGCATGTGATGGGCAGTGGCTGTGGATTTCACCATGCACGCCACGCACGCGGGACGTGCGTCCGAGAAGAAGTTGTGAACCACATAGCTCCAGAGACTAACTCGCCCACCAAAAGCGATCTGTTGTTTTGTTGCACCTTCGACCAGTGGATCTTCCTTTACTTCACTGAGGCAAAATATAGTGTTTTAGATATGTTGATTTGTTCCATCTCTTGTGATACAGCGATTTCACGCTTATGAGGGTTCACCCTCTTTTAAAGCCTGTGTGCTAAAGCGATTGCGGACATGACGAAGCTCAAGTCTTGCATGCTGGCCGACCAGATCGAGAGATTGGAGTCCAAAATGATCCAAAATGCGTGAAAGCGTGGCTGCCGTGGCTGCCTGTGGAGAGTACTCGGGAGCTGCAATGCTTGCTGTCGTCTCTAGCATGCTTTGGGAAAGGACCAGTTGGATGATGTCGTTCTCATGGCTCGCAAGCAGTGTTGAGAGCGAGACCAGTCGAAAAGTGAAGCATGATCTGCACACCTAGACATCTGGTCAAAAGTCAAGCACAAGATGGTATCTGACGGTATCGACCCGCGACATCTTTCTGCGGGTTGCTGGTTGCTATCATTAAACGACTCCTGCCGTTTCATTCCCTTAGCTTGACACGCCAGCGTTGTTTTCAATGAACGCCAACTAGCACTATACCAACCACCCCACCAAGAAAAACTCCTACCAGGTCATTGGCAAGCAAGCGTCTGTCATTTTTTGGAACACCTCAAACTGCCTGTTGTGAGACTGTACGGGCCGGATCCACCAGATGTAGTGCTCGAGCCACTAAGTCAGCCCAGAGCGATGTGTTTTTCACAGCTGCCCTTGTCCAAGAACTCCGCAGGGTCCCAATCAATGGGCACATCTTAGAAGATTTTGTTTTATTCAATTGGTTCTTTTCCCTAGAAGAACCTGAATCATACCTGAATCATCGAATCTGAGAAGATGCCTGTTTCTGAGGTTCTATTTTTTCCTTTGACCAGATTCCCCCCCCCCCTCACCCACTGATACACTGCCAACTGATAGGTCACCAGTCCCGAACCGAGCATCGAACGTCAGGTCCTCACCGCCCAATCCTCCGCTCGCCAGGCGGTGTGATGCCTCGCCGGCGCCGGGCGGCCAATCCCCCAGAACATGAATCCTGCCATCCGGGACTGGGAGAATGGCATCATATTGCATATATATATATATATATTTTTGCCCTGGGAATACAAACCGATTTCGGCAGCTGCTTCTGGACGACTGAAGGCTCGGCCCAAATGGAGTCGAGCTGGACTTCTTAAAGGGAGTACATGTTCAGTGTGCTTGATTGAGAAGGGGTCTTTCTGGGGTTCATATATCTTCCAGTCCCAGATGGTGGTCGTGTTTGGGAATCATTTGTGGGGATTGAATCCCCGGGGTCCAAGGAAAAAGGATGCTTTGTTGGGCGCGAAGAGTGGAGAGAAGACATCCAGGAGTCACAAAGGGGTGGTTTTGGGTCTCTAAGTGAGTGGATAATGGGCACGCCTAACCTCCATTAAGCACCCCTTTGTGACTGCTGGATGAATGAGGAAGAATGGGCAAAGAACTAAACAGGACTCCACTCAGGCTTGGCCGCCCTGTT